TGTTCAAAATAATTAATATTTTAAGAAATTATTATTGGACTCATTGAATGTTATATCCGATGTACGCAATTATAAATAGATGTATAAATATAAAATAATTTTATAAGTATTTAAATAGAAACTTTTATAGAAAGAATTATTAAAAATTTGTCCAATTTTTTCATGTTTAAATCATTTATATAAAATCAAATTAATTAATTAATTAATTAATATAAAATTAATATAAATAATAATACTCACCATCAGGTTGTTCCGCTGGTGCAAGATGCCTTTCCTAGGCCTGCTCCTCCTCTCAGATCATCTGGGTTGTTACATCTATAACATACACATAGAAAATCCAAATTATAATAACGTCAAAAATAATTAATATTTCAAAGAATTATTATTGTATGTATTGTATCTTATATTCAATCCATATAATAATAAGTAGATTAATAAAATAATTCTATAAATTAAAGAAAAACATCATTAATAATTCTTTAATAATTTTATAAAAGCTTATATCTTTACAAGAGTTTATAGCTTTTATTTAAAAATCTTTTTCTCTCTTATTTAAATCATATAAATAAACAAATCAAATTAATTGTTGCGATTAATTGTTTGATTTAAATTATAATAAATATATTTAATATTTAATATACAATTACAAATAAATAAATTGCTTACCAGAAGGTTGCTCTGCCGGAGCCTGATGCCTCTCCTAGGCCTCCTCCTCCTCTCAGTTAGACGCGCGATTCTTAACAGCACTCCCGCACTCACGAGCGATATTTTTATATCGCTATTTTCGCACTTTTACGCGCGATACTGAACGGCACTCCCGCACTATTCGATACAATTAACAATTTTCTGTTTTGTCGCGCGATGTATATATTTAATATATATATACTTTAAACGGCACTCCCGGTTTCGGTACGAGCGAAAATCCCGTTTCACTTGTGAAAGTGGGATTGCGAAAAAGTCCAACGCGAAAACGCGATAACGCGATGACGCGAAAAAGCTAAATGCGAAAACGCGGTAACGAGACTCCGCCGTCCGCGACACGTTGACGGCACCGACGACGAAAAGTCGACGACGCAATATATATATATATATATTTTTAATAATATTTATGTTTTTTTCTGAAAATAAATTTAATTTTTATATTCCCTAATAGCCCTAACAAACCTAACAGCCCTAACATCCCTAAGTTCTAGCAGTCCTAACAGTCCTAGCCGCCTTACTTGCTGGCTTACACCAGCAAAAATTCGCGATAAGGTTCAATTTGGGGAGCCCTAATCGAAAATTCGCGATAAAATTTAAAGAGCCTTAACTGTGCAACACATCTTTTGGCCAATATTGACCATGTATTTTTCAGGCCAGTTATCTCCACTTCTAGCCATTCATTCTGACGACTAATTTATTTCAAAAACGATCATGCGATATTATGATCGTTTCTTTAACGCACGTTATTCAGTCGTCAAAAATTGCAAGTTATAAATTATCATGCATAAAAGATAAAAAGCATGCATTTTAACTCTCGGTTGGCAGATTGGTTAGAAATATCTCTATTTTATAGATTAAATATTTATCGATTAAAAACCTATTTTTATAAAATTGTTTTTTATAGAGACCGATATATAATAGAATTTTAGAATATTTCATATATGTCCGTCATACAATTGCAATAAAAATATCATCTATTTTTATTAAAAATATTTTTCCTTTACTTTTTCACTTTAATTTTTACTCGCATATTGTCCCGCCAACGGAGAGTTAGAAGCAATGGATTTCTTCATGCATTTATAAATCCTTTGCTTCAAAATAAAATGTTGTCACTTACCGGCACTGATGCGCAACAGCGGAATTGATATTGAAGCTACGTTGTCTGTAACATACAAATATAAAATGCAAATTACATCAATGTTTAAAATAATTAATATTTTAAGAAAGTTATTATTGGATTCATTGAATTTTATGTCCGATGTGCGCAATTATAAATAGATATATAAATATAAAATAATTTTATAATTAATTAATTTTTTCAAGTAGAACCTTTAGAAAGAATTATATAGAAAGAAATATTACAAAAATTTTCCCAATTTTTTCTTGTTTAAATCATTCACATAAATCAAATTAATAAATTAATTAATTCATTTATATACAATTAATATAAATAATAATATTCACCATCAGGTTGTTCCGCTGGTGCAGGATGCCTCTCCTAGGCCTGCTCCTCCTCTCAGATCATCTGGGTTGATGCTTCAATCTATAACAAATAGAAGATCTAAATTGTAATAATGTTCAAAATAATTAATATATATTTTAAAAATTATTGTATGCATTGAATTTTATATCCGACGCATATAATAATAGCAGATTAATAAAATAAAATATTATTAATAATTCTTTAATAACTTTATAAAACCTTTACAAGATTATAAATTTTATATAAAAATCTTTTTCTTTAAAATTCGTATTTAAATCATATGAATAAAAAAATCAAATTACGATTAATTGCTTAATTTAAATTATAATAAATATATTCAATATTTAATTTATATATATATATATATATATATATATATATATATAATTGCAAATAAATAAACTATTTACCAGACGGTTGCTCTGCCGAAGCTCGATGCCTCTCCTAGGCCTCCTCCTCCTCTCAGTCTTAATCGCGCGATACTTTTAGCGGCACTCCCGCACTCACGTGCGATATTTTTATATCGCTATTTTCGCACTTTTACGCGCGATACTGAACGGCACTCCCGCACTATTCGATACGATTAAAAATTTTCTGTTTTGTCGCGCGATGTATATATTTAATATATATATACTTTAAACGGCACTCCCGGTTTCGGTACGAGCGAAAATCCCGTTTCACTTTTACAAGAGTCATCTTCGAGTCAACAGATCGGGAATTCAACGCATCTTACCTCCGAACAAGAGTTAAGTCCGAAACGGAAGAAAACTATCGATTGATGGAATCAACGCGAATGGAGTTCACTCGACTCTTGTCCGCGCCTAATATCCTATCTCAGACGGAACAAGAGAAGGGATCCATTAACGACGATTCCAAGCAATCGATCGAATCCTAACCGATCCGTACCGAACTGGAGCCAGAAGCAGAACGTGACCTCAATCAGCCGGACTTTTGAGCAAAAGCTCAAAATCGCGCGCCCACATACACAGTACTGGCATCCGCATGCGCGCCGGCATCACCTAAATGCCGCGTTGCACCAGGCGTGAGACAAAGATCGTTGCAGCAACGACTCAATGAACATCCCAGTTAATTGACGTCGGAAGATGACAACTCGATGACATATAAATGAAATTGGGATTGCGAAAAAGTCCAACGCGAAAACGCGATGATGCGATGACGCGAAAAAGCTAAACGCGAAAACGCGGTAACGAAACGCAGCCATCCGCGACACGTTGACGGCACCGACGACGCGAAAGGGTACTTAGCTTCCTCTTCAGGCTCCTTGAGATTTATTCTAAATTAAAAAATTTAAAATAAACTTCAAGGCACCATCCAAGTACTAAGCCCTCCCACCGCGACAAGGTGTACCCCGTGGGAGGGTTATATTATATATAATTTTATATATAATAAATATAATATATAATTAATAGATATATTTTTAGAATTATTTTAAGAATTATATTATATCATATTATATTATATTATATTATATTATATTTTACATATTTTAATGCAGCAAATAATTTTTTGATATTGATCGCGATCGCGTCTAGAAAAGGATTTAACGGAGCGTCTTGTACTACTACTTTACTCTTTGAGTGTCATCGCGCGAATAACAATAGAATCGAACAAATTAATCCAAAAGACCGTGTTATTATTTTTGTACCGAAACATTTTTCAAGACTATGGCATATAAACATGACTATGGTATATAAACATATAAGTATATACGACATATTTCGCACTACGATCTTTACTGCTTGATTGTCGCTTTGTGAATGATACTAAAACCGTATGACTAGCGCGCTATTGTTTATGTTAAGGTCGAACGCCGTGTTATTGTTCGAAGATATTTCGATGACGAATAGACAATAATACTGATCTTGACGTAAATAATACATATTTATATTATATTATATTATATCGTATCCTTAAATTTAACCTATTATATTATATTATATTATATTTTATATATTTTAATACAGTAAATAATTTTTCGATATTAATCGCGATCGAGTCTAGAAAAAGATTTAACGGATGATAATAGAGCCGAACAAATAAGTCCGAAAGATCTTGATCTATGACCCTTCACTATCATGAATAGTGTATGATTTTAACTTTGACTGAATTATAATAAATATTATATTCAATAGATAAAATGTATTGAATAGTATTCTGATTTACTGGAATTCATAATTACTATAAATAATATCATATTATCATATGATATTCATTAATATTATTTTATATCTCGATTTTATTATAATTCGATTATCGAATAGTGAAAAAGCACAACAATAGACGGTCAGAATGGCCGAAGTTCTTTGTTTGCAAATGACATGTCTTTTTCATAGCAATCTACCTTTGTAAATCTAAATTTAAAAATTGAATATTTTTTACGATAAATCCATTGATTTTAATAAATTACAATCAATGAAATGCTTTCGCGATCCAGGGTATCATCCTGGAAGTTGCAGCGATTTCTTACAAGGTATACAGAATGATATAATATTTCTTCTCTATACTTCATTAAAATGTATTACTTTTACTTTTACTATTAATCTTGTGATTTATTGAAAATCTGTGACGTTAATTAAAAAATTAAATTAAATTTTATTAACTAAACTAACTACCTATCAAATACTTGCAAATTAAATCATGTTACAAAAAAATGTTACGTTGCAGATTATTCTCATCGGATAAAGGTGAAGGAAGTAAAAAGGATGTATCAAAATGTACGAAATCTACAAAATTAGAGACATGTCAATTGAATCCATGTGTGATAGATCCATGCAAACCAGAACCAAGTATAGTTATCATAGGTGCTGGTATGGCCGGATTATCAGCAGCGCATCGATTGGCTCAATGCGGTTTTCACAATTTTACAATTTTAGAAGCGACAGATAGGTAGAAATTAAAAATTAAAATTAATCTTAACATTAAATTATAAAAGCACACACACACATATAATATATACAATATGTTTTTTGAAATCATTTTAAACATTCTGTTAGTTACCTCAATATTTAAATTTAATCAATTTATATTATCATGAGATCTTATTTTTGTTAACTTATTCTTACGAGAGTTGTTTTTAATTTCAGACCGGGTGGTCGAATTCATTCTTGCTGGTTGGGCGACGTGGTGGCGGAAATGGGTGCCACATGGATTGAGGGTGGTTGCATGGCAAATCCGGTGTTTACTTTGGCGGCGCAAGAAGGTCTTCTGAAGTCGCCGCTCTCCAGACCGGATCCTAGTCGCGGACTCTTTTATACCAGTGATGGCAGAGCCATCGATCTTCCGGTCAGCATCACAGCGTATCATACTTTCCGGCAAATCGAGCAGCAAGCGGCGGCTCTTTTCGCCCTTGGCTGCGGCCGTGCCCATGGTACGTTGCTGAATTTTATGGGAATCAGAATTCAGCAGGAGCTGCAGAACTTTCCGGAGGAGCAACGGTACAGTTGTCCAGGTCACTCGCAAGCTTTCTAAGCTGCGAAATAAAGATTTTATTAGGGTAATCAGGCGAATGGATAATAGATAAGTTTTATTATCAATTGATTAGAAGATACAGAATGCAGTTTATTTAAATTTTATAAACTTTTTTGTAATTCTTTTTTAATAAAAAAAATAATGAAAATAAAATAATAAAACTATACATAGATATTAAACTATATAAAAATAATAAAAACACTCATATAAAACTATATAATTAGGTATAACATATTTTAAATATATTCAGGCTTTCTCTAAAAAAAATATAGACAAGATATTATTAGCTTGTAATAAATTGTAATTACTTTATATGTAATAATAATAATAATACTTAAATTAGTTGCCTATAATTAATTAACATTATTTTAAATTGTTAATATTTTACAAATATGTAAATGAAATAAATTATATATATGTTTAGTCACAATACATTATTTTATGAAAAATTATTTGCATTTTTGTGTTTTAATGACAAAAAATAAATTTAATTTAATGCACTTTTGCAAAAATTTAGCTACTACACATCGCTAAATAATTAATTATGATTCAGCTATATTTTTCTTCTAAAATTAATAATGTGAATGACACTTGACTTGCAGATATGATGCTGCGAGGGTGATGTACGGTATGACGAATTGTGTAAGATGTCGATGCGGAGATGATCTTTCGCTCGTCTCAGCTGATCAATTCGGCAGTTATATCGAGATTCCCGGTGGCAATATTAGAGTGCCCTTAGGATACGTGGGAGTGTTGGCTCCCCTGTTACGAAATTTGCCTAGTTCTTGCATCAAGTTTGTATAAAAGATTCAATGGCAATTGCATCTAATTTTTTTGTTTTATCAAAATACATTTATTTTGCGAAGAAAAATACGCCATAAAGTTAAAAAATTAGATAAAAAGCTTTATTATTCGGTATAATATTTTGCCGAGCACAATAGTTTCAACATGTCATGCTCTTTAATATCCTATAAACATTATCCTAATATACTATCTTATATATATTAATACATATACAAAATAATTATATAAATTTCTATATGAAAAAGTACTTCTACAGAAAATAGTTTTGTAGACATCTTTTTAAAATTTTTTCTAAACGAAAGTTTTTTTTTAAGGTATTGCAAGCCAGTTAGTTGCATTCGATGGGGTACAGTGAATGAAGCGTGCCCTCGGGCCATCATAAAATGTCGCGATGGCGAGGAATTTCCCGCTGATTATGTCATCGTGACTGTTTCGCTCGGAGTTCTAAAGCATCAGCACGCGAAATTATTTTTACCTGGCTTACCTGCTGAAAAAGTCGAAGCGATCAACAAACTTGGCTACGGGCACGTTAACAAAATCTTCCTGGAATATGCGAGGCCCTTCTGGGTCTGGCGCGAAGGTGGCATCAATTTGGCTTGGTCCGTTGAAGAGTTAGCGGATAGAAGTGATTGGGTGAAAGGTTGTTGTTTCCTATAATATATTATTAATTAATATTTGATTGCAATCATATTAGAGGAACTTAAAAGACTACATAATCAAGATGTTTGTAATTTACTCAACATTAGGCGTGGTGAGCGTAGAAGAATTGCTGAATTCTCAGCATGTGTTATGCGCCTGGGTATGTGGACGCGAAGCGATGGACATGGAATTATGTTCCGACGAAGAAATAGTAGAATCGATGACGACGCTTCTTCGTCAATTCACTGGCGATCCCACATTACCTTATCCAGCCAACATTCTCAGGACCAAGTGGTGCATGGATCAATATTTTTCTGGGGCTTACAGTTACATGGCGATGGACAGCACCATTGGTCATCAATGTGATTTGGCTAGTCCATTACCAGGTATTTCAAGTTTCACTCGTTCATTGAACACCTAGCTAAATAATTCTTAATATTCTGGTCGAGATACATACATAACATTTTCAATTTTTAATTTTGAAATCGACAATATATAAAATATTAAAATTGACAATATATCAAATATTATTAATAATTTAGATCGTAGCAATTTTCTTCAACATCTTATGCATTTATCATGTTTCCTAGATTCGTGTGAATCGGTACCGCCTATACTTTTATTCGCGGGTGAGGCTACTATACCAGGACATTATAGTACCGTGCATGGTGCAAGGCTCAGCGGTATTCGTGAAGCGGAAAGAATCATTCAATTGACAAAACGACTTCGTGGTCCGCCGAAGAAAGTGCCCGCCAAATCTTAATTCTCTCAGCAAAAATGTATATATAAAGGCTTTGATTTTGTGATGTAAATGTGTTACAGGTAATCGGGTATATGTACATTTTGTGAATCATATTTATTTTGTATAAATATTTTCATAAATCTCGAAATATATTTATTTATTTAAAATATATATGTGAGCTGTTCTTTTTCATGTACCGAGAAAAAACTGTTGTTTTGCGTGTATCAGAATAAATTCAGATATTTTTGCGGATTTAATCTTACGTAAAGATAAAACAAATTTTCATATAATGTTTTGCAATTTTGGAAGGGATAAATACCTTGCAAGAAGAGTCAGATGAAGAACGAATAAACAAGCGCAAACATATCGTTATCGAATCATAAATTAAAATTGTTGTTAAAAAGATCCAAGTTTAATCTTATTCATTCGACGAGTGATGATGTACTTTTATAATTTGCGTATCTCGTTCGATATACACTGCGTTTCGATAAATACCCTAGAATCGAAGTATCAGGCTGTGCCTGTCTAGAGTACATTCGGAAATCCTACTCGCAGAGTAAAGTAACATCGATTTGATCAATCAGGACAAAAGGAGCAAACATTTCTCGATCCCGATTGGTCGGTTAAATGTCACTCTACCCCACGGCTAGGATTTCCGAACGCATTGTTGCAGGCGCATAGTTCTGACGCACGAGCAGTGTTTTCCGTGTGCATGTGTGTGTTTATGCTCCTCTCCTAAAACAGACCCGGCAAAATGGACGATATAGCACTGCGAGCATCTGATCATGTTTTAGAAGTGATATTCTCGTATCTGGATCTGCACACGTTGAGAAATTGCTCGCTGGTGTGCAAACGATGGTATCGGTTTCTCAATGACGAGAACAATGATGTGTGGCGGATGCACTGTATAAGAAAATTGGCGCAGGAGGCACTCAGTTCCGATTTGTTGTCGTCCGTTCCCACGTACAAATCGAAGCTCCGTGCGTTTTATCATGCGTGGAATCCGAACGACTGTTCGCGGAATATTTACATAAAACCCAACGGATTCACCCTGCACAGGTTGGTCCAGGACGTTATCTTAATCGTATCTTTAATCGTCAAGAGTGTCTCCCACGTTTTCACATCGAAAACAATCTTTAAATGGCTATAATTTAATATTGCCTTTTATATATAAATCAGTCCTCAACTGGAATAAATATAGTTATGTGGAGGAAAATTAACTTCACTGAACTTTCTTTTATGTGAACTGTAGTTAGTTAAGTTTTACTTAGGAAATATTTTTGAATTTTCTTATTCCTAACTGATTTAGCAAATATATATTGCTAGTGTACATATATATATATATATATATATATATATATATATATATAATGCAATTTTCTAAAGCTATAGTAAAAATTATAATATATATATTAAAAGCATAAAATAATCTGAGAAATAAGATATCCAAAATGTCTCGCACCAGTTGCTTGATATCTTTACAGAAATCCTGTAGCGCAAAGTACAGATGCATGTAGAGGCAAAATAGGTTTCCGACATGGACGTCATGCTTGGGAAGTTATCTGGGAAGGACCTTTAGGAACAGTAGCAGTAATAGGAATAGCCACTAAAGAAGCACCTCTGTTGTGTCATGGATATGTAGCGTTACTTGGCTCTGATGAACACTCCTGGGGCTGGAATCTTGTTGATAATCACTTGTTGCATAATGGAGATCCACAGGGAAATTATCCTTTACTCAACAATGCTCCAAAGTATCAGGTATTTATATTTACAAAATATATACCTATTTATATAAATAAATTAATAATTTATCATTGTATTTTTTACATTTATATGCATATTAGTGTTTTTTATAATATAAAAGCAAATCTTTAAAAATATTTCTTCTTTCAAAAATATTCGTATTTTATTTACAGGTTGGAGAGAGAATTAGAGTAATTTTAGATTGTGATGATAATACATTGTCTTTCGAGAAGAATTATGAATTTCTGGGTGTAGCTTTCAGAGGTATGACTTTTTTTTCTTACATTTTTGTCTGCAAATTGATTATAATTTATTAATCTATTCTTATTCATAATTTGAAATTGTCGTTTCCTATTTATCTTTCTTCAAGAATATTTCATTTATTCTAAAAATAGAAATATATGTGCATTTTTATAAGTTGGTTTAATAAACAGGGTTACCAGATAAGAGATTATATCCATCAGTATCAGCAGTTTATGGAAACACAGAAGTGTCTATGGTATACTTAGGACCACCATTGGATGGCTAACACATTACATTTGAGAAAAACATATCCTCAAAAAGCTCACAATTGAGGCTGTACAATGCATTCTTAATGCCAAGTTTTCTGCACTATATTGACATTGTCTACGTTTAAGTAGAACAGAGCACATGACTACAAACTGTACAATATTCTTTACAGAGAATGTGTGCCTGCTAGATTACTTGGTCAATAATTGTAAATAATAGACATTTTATTTTATTTAAACTGCAAAGTTTATCATCCAGTACATACAATGGCTTGGTTTGTTTGAGTAGTCAAATTAAGTGATTTTGATTATTGTATGTGTGTATGTATCTACACATGGAGGTTTTAAGTAATATTAATTCTTAAATAATTGTTTAAAAATGTTTCAGTAATACTTACTAAATAGTAATATTTACTTAAATATTTTTTAAAATGATGTGATTATATGAATAATGCTATAATTCAAATTTGTGGGAGTTATCAATAATCTTTAGCATACATGTATATATGAGTAATATATTTATCATACTTAATACCTCCATGCAGAGTATTATTTATTATTATTTATTATTATTTATATTTAATTATGCAGAAAAGTACAATGAATGGTACTTTAATAATTTTATAAATTTTTATTTTTAAAACGACTTCGTTTTAATTCGTTATTGCCATAAATAATATTTATAAAGACATTCCAATTTTTTGGCATTTCTCTTTATGATATATATTAATCTCAGGACACTCGTTACAACTTTGCAATCTTTCATTTTTTATTGCTAGACAGTAAGAACAAATGAACTCATTGTATTCTTCCAAAATGGTCATTTTCTTTTTGATTACTTTAAATACAACAGTATATTGATAATATATTGAGAATGAAATATTGTTAGTAACAAAAAAGTGATATAAAAATTTTTCTGTAAAAATTAAAATTAACATATTTCTTTGCTGTTTGATTTAATGATTGATTGTTTACATATATACATATAAAAAAAATTAATATAGAAATTTTACAATTAATTCTATATTTTCTTTGTATTATAATCAAACCAGAAAAAAATTTTTAATGGCAATTCTTCACATAATAGAATTACAGGGTGTCCCACTTAAAGTGTTCATTGAGTATAGCTATATTATTTTTTGTACAAGAACAAATTGCGAAAAATAGTTATGTAGCATATTAAAATTAAACAAAGAACGGGTTCTCAGGCAAGGCCTCATTCAATAAGCACACTAAAAATTATTCGTCCTAAATAGAAAACTAGATTTTACAATTTTTTCTTTTTTGAAATGGAATGAATGCGAATCTCCAAACTTTCATATAACAATACATACTACTTTAATGATTTCTCTTTAAAAAAAAGCGAAAAAAGAAAGAAATTATTCAATAATTATATAGCATCTTTATCTAATGCATTTTTTCTCGTATTTTAAACATTTAATATTCTTACATATTGCATTAATGCGATCTCATTTAGACTCTACATCATATATTAGGCTCTATGTTGCCAACCTCATTTTACCATGTATATGCTGTATAAATTTTTATGCCACTATTGTGGATAAATGAATGCACAAGAGAAATACTTGCATAAAATTGCATAAAATTTTAAAATTTGTCCTTTTCATTCATCGTCTAGAAAATTTTACGTTGATAAATAGATATAAATATGAAAGATTGTATATTACAATCTGTATTAAGTCTGTATTTATAAATAATGTGCTGTTTTAATATAAAAGATTGAATACCGATGAGATTTTAGAATGAACTAGGTATGATCAGTAAGAATTATTTATAATGTACATATTTATTATGATGATTGCGTTTGCTGTATGTAGTATTCGTGAATTAGTTTTTCTAAAATTTTGTACAGAATCGTGTACATAGTAATTATAAATATTTGGGAAATAAACTTTATTTCATATGTACCTATTGATTGTCGTTCATCATGTTATATTCCAATATTTTTATCTTTTATTCTTCTTTATCTCCTAAATATTTCGTTGTATTTTTTTATATTGTTTTTATCCAATCCACCATTATGAAGATTATATATCTTAATGTATTATTTTCTTAATCTAGATAAAAGTTATAGCTAAATCCAGACAATTCCTTTATTCATTTTATCCAAAATCTTACAATATTTTTACAATTTAAATGCAAATAATGGTAATAGTATTATGTATACTTATCTCAGATATCTCTCCTGCAATACCTGATTATTAATTTATAAATTCGAGAATTCACAATGGCACTACATCAAGAGAGAATTTGCCTTTATAAATATTGAAATTAAGTGTTAAAAGCTCTTCTCTACCTGTTATTATCTCGATTATTGTTTTGGGCGATGAAAGGAATTTTCTTTGGAATTTTTTTTTAAATACGCATGTACATTACAATACCAATCGTTATATTTTTATTACGATTGACCTCGACTAAACGTTCTATTGGAAAAAATTTCAATTTGCAATTTTTTTTGGGCTTTCGCATTTGCATTGCATCGCAAAATTTCCCCCTTTATTCGTATGCAGTTAAATCGTCAGAACGTACAATAAAATCGTCAGAACATTATTCCAAGTAGTATTCGACTTTAATATTATTTACAGATTGTATGTTCTATGATAGGAATAAGACTTATAATTTCGTATCTTTTGTACAGCATTTTGTATAAAGGCAATACGCACGCGAAGTATACGATATATAAAATCGTGAACAATTTACATTCTGGCGGCGCATTTTATACAAGCCAGGCATTCGTACAATACTGTTAGTACAATACAAATGAGGCTAAAACTGACGAGAAATTTACTCTTGATTATAATTGCAAGAAATATATCTAAATTATAATATCAATAAATGGGTGCACTCGCAGATATTTAAAAATTTAATAAATATATAATAATATATAAATATACATATATGTATGTACACAGAGTATCCCATCTTTCTGCATTACATGATTGTGCATTATTATAACTTAATGAACAATCATCTAATTACACAATTAATGTATAGAAATTGAAAGCAAACTATATTACAAAAATGAACAGATATAGATTGCTTGTCAATGTTTAAAATTGACATAAAACTTATGTAATTTATAAAATAATTCTACCAATTATACATTATTATATTCGTTTACTTTAATATATTTGTTATGATCTATTTTTTTAATTAAAGAACATGCTTATATGGGATATCCTGTGTATATGTGTGTGCGCGCGTTGCATATTACATATATTATTATATGCGTGAAATTATTCTTAAAATAATTATACAAATTATACAAACAACGAAACTGCTTATTTTATTTGGCTCAAAAAAATATCAAACATATTAGAAATTTATTAAATAAAAAAATATATAATCACATTTGTGATTTCTAAATAGTAATATCTATTAGAATTATCATTATACCATATGTGATTCTAAAGAATTAAACTCTTGGTACGAAATATTTGAATCTATTATACATATTTTACATTATATAATATATATATATATATATATATATATATATATCTCTTTTTTTAGTTTGATTCCTTATTATGTACTTATTTGATATATAATTATTGTATTGAGTGAGAATATTGTATTAAAAGAAAAGTTATACAAACACACAAATAAGATATACTTTACTAAGTGTGTACAAAGAAAATTTTTCTCACAAAATTCATCTTAATTGTAATCTATAGTCTGACAAATCTCACACTTTGGGGAAACATAAATTAAACAAAAAATTAAATATCAATAATTAATATCATATTTATTACATGATCTATCTCTTCAAATCTCTTTGTATTTCTTTAATCTCTTTAAATTATTATCCTTGAATAAAAATTTTTATTATCATTCAATAGAAAAAATTCCAAAAAAATAGAGAATATTAACAAAATATATTTACTTATGTAAATATGTAACTTAACTAATTACCTTCATTCCAATTATATATATTTTTTCATAATATATGCAATATTTCTTCTATCATTATAAAAGTGGATGTCAATTGAGTAATATTATATTTTGCAATATAAAGTTTTTAAAGATAATCTTTTTTGTATACTATTCACAATATATGTATTTCCTCGCGTTATTATATAGCAATTATATAAAAATTATACTATCGACTAGTTTCTCTAACTAACAAAGAAAAAATATTATTAAATAATAATAAAACTTTTGATTAATCTTTTAAACTAAACAGAAATTGAAATTATTTTGAATAACATAAAAATGTGATATATATTATTTATATCTTAGATAGATTGCTTTCTCAAATAAAACAGCTTATGTTTGTTGCTCATAAAGAATTAAATAAAAATGCATAAAATCTCCATAATTTCAGTAAGCTGCCATTAAAAAAATAATCTTATTTTTCGACGAATAGTCATCTTACAGCGTGATATAACATTTATGTTATGATATTGATAAAATGATAATAATAATGTTAGCAACACTATAGTATTAACTTATGAATGATATGAAAACAACTAACATAGCGATTTTGTAATCTAAATATTAGAATTTAATTATACAGAAGTCTCTTTAAGATATCACATAATAAAATATATTACAAACGACATTAATCTTTGAATTAAAGATGAAATCATAATTTTTACACAATAATATTCTAATTCTTGCATTTGATACACATGTATATTAATATTTTGTAAATTAAATTATAACAGTAAGATTATTGTCATGATATGGTACATTATATAATGTATCACAATAATATTATATGTTAGTTATTTTCATATCATTTGTGAGTGAATACTATAGTGTTGCTATATATAACATTATTATTATCAATATCATTTTTAATACCATAATATAAATTCAATGCTATATCAAGCTGTAAAATAAGTAATATTCGTCGAAAAATAAGATTATTTCTTTAATGGCAGCATACTGAAATTGTGGAGCTTTTACGCATTTTTATTTAATTCTACATAAGCAACAAACAAACTGTTTTATTTGAAATTATCTAAAATATAGATAATATATTTCACATTTCTATGTTATTCAAAATAGTTTTAATTTCTGTTTAGTTTAAAAGATTAATTTATAATTTGCATGTGTTACACTAGGATTAATTTATAATTTGTGTGTTATAGTATTTAAATATTAAATAATATTAATATATATTTTTATTTTATATCTGTATTTTATTCCTACTTTCTTTATGGCATCATGTGCTATATTGCAAAAAGCACATTCTAAAATTTTCTCACTATACATATTTGCACTAATTAGTGATGCAAATATATTTTTATATATGCATATAGTAAAGAATTAAATTGTAGAAATGGTCATATAAAAATATTTTTATATACATGACCAGTTTCACAAATAGAGTCATGGATTTAAATAAAAGCATTGTATATGTCACATAAATGTGTTACAAATTGTCTTGTCAATTCTTTATGGCTTCTGGATTATTATTAATTAAACAATATGTGCTGCCAAAATACTATGCTACATTATATATATTTTTAAACTATGAAAGTTTAGGAGACTTCACAATTTGCCTTTCTTAGTATTAGTTATAAGGCAGTATTATAAATCTTTAATTATAAACCTTCACGGTTAATAATGATTATTCAGAGTTTTGACAGTTTCGAGAACATGATCAGACAATGTTTGTCTCCATGTGAAATACATATAAATAATTAATTATGACAATTTCTAAAAATACTTGCAGAAACTAAAAATTGAAAGAAAATGATAAAAATAAAAAGTAGTATTACACTTTTAAAATAAATGATAATATAATTTAATAATACAACATTAATAATATCGATTATTAATAAATTTAAATAAATTCTTTTTGTTTATGATAATCATGTGTTGTAGGTAGGATAATTATTATCTTAATACATTTCAGATCATGTTACTAAGAAGGTTCATCATGAAATCTCGAATTTAGCTTGCCTATTATATAGAATAGATACAATATTGCAGTTTCGTTATTTGAACATTTTTTTTTCTTATTTCACATAGCGAAAATGAATATAAAAATATATGAAATGGTTTATAGTGCACTTTTCTAATAAAAGGTAGTGCAGTTTTTAAGATTGCTTATGTATGATTTTTGCTATTGAACGTCAGCTTAAGCCTCATGCTATCTCTGATAATAAGATTCTATGCACAGCATTAGACATAATAAGCATTTGGACAGAAATTTATATTTCATGATTATTTATGGATCGGTATCTGATGAATTAAATTAAAATAAACATACAACACAATAATTGTACCAAGATCAAATTATCTGTTTGATATCCCTTTTGTATTGAGTTTACTGGACTTAAATTCAATAAAAAAATCTATAGTGGGAATATATTAATTATTGTTTAAATGTTTAGTTTATAATGAAAAGTTAAATTTATGCAAGTTAATTTTCCTCTCTTTTTTTAGTAATTTTAATATAAATGATGTTTTTAAAGAAGTTATAATAGATATAATTATAAATATTATTAGCCTGCAAAAGAAAAAAAATCTAATATTTCTATTTATCTCCCTACATATATATACGAGCATAAAAACTATTATCGGCACAGTTAATAATGCAAATGCATATTGCAATATGAGAAAATATCACAAAATTATATATATTCTCATATCACTTTTAAAATATTACAATAAAAAAAATATTTGTAGATATGTACTTATAAATAATACTCACTTGATAAAGTTGAAGTTTTATATACCTTAACATTTTTTGTCATGAAACTAATCAAAATGTGTATGACCATTTCCTGAGGTATTAGAGTCTTCATGTAATTTCTCGCTTTGTTCATATGTATGATTTTTCTTTGGAATTGTGCATTCTAATGATGGCTTAACTCTTGTTGGTGGAAACTTGGTTAAGAAAAAGTTGGATCCATAACTAAACAGTTTAGATAGTGTGGGACATAATATCGATTGATGAGTTACTGCCCATATTCGATAATTTTGACCTTCAAATGGATCCAAAATAGCTGCACATAACATGTGGCTAAGATTCACTTGTACAGGCTATAAAAAAAATATAAATAAAAAAAGATTTTAAAAAAATTAAGTCTATAATATTCAAATAAAAAGTCATACAAACCAAGGCAACACATTGAAGAACCCAAAAGTGATATCCTGCATTGAGCCCAAAACCGAGGATTGACCAGCTCATATCAGAAAAAGGCTCGACGTTATATACACCTATAATTAAAACAGTAAAATGTAATGTTTAAAATTATTGCTCTTAAGATAGCAGGAAAATGAAACATGATATAAAAGATATGATTATGAATGAATTAAACATAGATTGTCATTATTGTTTAAATATAGATAATTACCTCCAATTCTTAACAAGTAATATGGTATTACTAACATCAAACCATGTTGAATATAATACATTGATTTGTCTGCAAATATCTAAAAAGAAAAAGAACATATATTTTTATCAATAAAAATTGTATTTTGCTCGATATAATTATAACTTACAATTCTAGATTCTGTTTCTGGGAACAAGTATGCCAATACTGGTCCATTCAATAGATTCAAATGAATCCTAAAGATAGCAGTTACTGTCGGACTAGGATCCGCAGCCAGCAGATACAACTATATCGCAACAAAACAAATGTATTAGCAAAAAAATTCAATTCAACATACAGTAAGCACCGAACTACTTTAATGCTAAAGTTAAAACAATAAATCAAGCTTACTTGTAACATTGTTGTAATATGACATGGATTTAACAAATATATAACAGTCCTGCTAGTAAACTTAAAACCAATCTCCATTCCCAGGACTAACGACATTATAATTAGCAAGACTCGCCTGCCTACACGGTCTTCGCCGACATAGGCCAATTTCTTTGGCAGCGTTACATGTTTTAAGCCCCATACGATGCAGGATATAATAAATACAGATATAAGCAACGTTTCTATTATCCTTCGCTTCAGACTTAAGTAATTTGCACATTCTGGACCGACATTGCGCGGTATAGAGCCATTTATACCATCGTATGCCCACTCGAACATTGTCTTAAATTAATCTCTTCTTTAGAACTGAAACAAAACGAGCTATTCTATAATAACAAATATATATAGAAAATAATATTAAATTCTTGAATGTCACCAGTAGATAAAATAAAAGAAAGTAATTAAAATCGATCACACTGGCAAATTTATTGGTTGGTAAAGTATTACAACGTTTCGATCATAGGTTTTGGTCCTTATGTCTTTCTCTTTGTGTTGGATCGAGAGGTTGACATGACTGAATCCTGACTGAATAGTGATTTCCTCTTTTCTCACAATATATTGGTTAACTAAGATATTTTCACTTGATAAGGACCAAAACCCATGGTCGAAACGTTGTGATACTTTACCAACCAATGAATTTGCCAGTGTGATCGATTTAAATTATTCTCTTTTATATGTAGAAAATCTTTCTTTTATATATAGAAAATATTTTATGATCAATAAATATTTAGAATTTTTATTATTTTTTAACGATCGTGACAAACGTGACAAACATATCGGGGTCAAACATAATAATAGACGTGACTAACATCATGACAAACGTGACATGAGGAGAGATACGAAGGTGAGGTGTTATCGCTGCATCATTATTTAGATATTTTTTACTTACATATTACGTATCGTAAAAAAAAAAACCGAGCTAAAAGCATTTAATGGCATGACTATCACTTTAACAAAATCGGATAAGGTTATGTGTTAACGAAAGCTCTTTCTCCAAGTATGACGCTTTATCATTGATCTCGCTGCTAAATATCAATCATTTAGCGTATATATAATCGTGATACCTAAAATAAAAAGGTTCAGAAAGAATGTCATCCACCGGAACGCGATCCGTGCTGGTGACGTTTGTCCGCACTTCAAATAAAAACAATTTCTCCCGAACTGTGTGAAAATTGAACTTCGGAATATCCGAAACTTCCCCCCCAAATCAAGTCGAATTGATCGTCTGGTCGGTAAATAGCAAAGATGAGAAAATGTTCCGCGGGTAACCTACCTTCGATACTTCGTCATCCGTCCTGCAGATAACGGCACATGCATAGAATGGAGGCGAGAATGCACTCGAAATACGCGCACAAGGCATAAGGTCACTTCGTTTCACTCGAAGACTCCAATATCCATCCTTGTTCGACCATCGACGAGCAACGAGGACGAAATTACGCATCGCACGGGCTCCGATTCTACTGCGCAGCACCGCCATGTTGTACGTCACGTGACGTCACGTGACGTCACATCACGTGACACTCGAAGAGCGAGCTCTGCTGCGCAGCTCCGCCATGTTGCTACGTCACGTGACGTCATATCACGTGATATTCGAAAAGTTATTCGTCGCGAGTCCCGCGTTTGTCGAGCAGCTTTACGCTCGTTTCTCGTATCGGTATCGCGTAAATCGCGAAAATAATCAAATATATCGAGGGAAACGAACAATATGTCAACGAGGACCGTGATATTTCGCGCCGAATATCTTCAATCGCGCTCAATATCGATGCCAAAAGGCAAGTGTCCTTCGATAACCTTAACCGCATGAAGTTGTAGGCATCCTACGTCATACTTACTCGTGAAATTTCGGAGTGAATTGTCGCGAATTGTTAACGTGCCGGGTTCTTTCTCTCTCGTCGATCTGTCGTTTTTGTGTATTTCATTGATCGACATATTCGCATCGATATATCAGGAGTGATGAAGCAATCGGTCGCATTATTCGTACATACGTGCGTCGTCGCTTGCAGCTCGCATTAACGTTAAAATCAGCGGAAGATCTAGTTCGATTAACCCTAAATGCAACGAGCGGTGTGAAGTATGCACCCCCGCCATATTAATTACCTGCACATCACGTGATTAATAGTTAAAAGTGAGTGACGTAGCCGATAATAATTTTTCAAATCGCCAATTTCTCCAACAGTCCGCGCCCGTTTACTCCTCGATCCGTTTTTCATTCGTGTATTTATCGCGTCGATATCGCGTATTCGTGATGAAATATCGAAAAGTCGCGAGTGTGTTTAATCGGGAGTGTCGGGTTTCGTATTATTTGTCGTCGTCGTTCGTCGAATTAATCAAATTTAACTCGATTAACCTTGAGTGCAGTGAATACCATAAGACGCCGTACGATCATCGTCACCCAAAATCTAATCCGTTGCATTTATTTCGTTATTTTTTATAACGATCTACGAGCAAACATCTACCGAATTATCGGTAAGTTCCACTTTGCCGTTGATTGAAGAAATTTAATTATCAATATGTGTATATTTTTATTGTTGTATATAATATCGATTAGAAAACAATTTATATAATAAATAAATATATAAATATACAATGCAAGATACATAATATTCATCAATATTAATTCTTGATATCAAAATCTAATCCGCTGCATTTATTTCGTTATTTTTTATAACGATCTACGAGCAAACATCTACCGAATTATCGGTAAATTTCACTTTGCAGTTAATTGAAGAAATTTAATTATCAATATATGTATATTTTTATTGTTGTATATAATATCGATTAGAAAACATAATTTATATAATAAATAAATATATAAATATACAATGCAAGATACATAATGTTCATCAATATCATTCTCGATATCAAAATCTAATCCATTTATTTTAATTTATTTCGTTATTTTTTTACAGGTACAGCGATCTACAACCATCTACCGAATATCTGCTGAAATAAAACACTACCGAATTATCGGTAAGTCCGTTTTACAGTTAATTGAAGAAATTTAATTATCAATACATGTATACTTCTGTTATTGTATGTGTGTATATAATATCGATTAAAAAACATAATTTATATAATATGTAATAAATATATAAATAAAACAATAAACTTAGAGTTAGAGGAATATTGTCTTCGCAAATATGAAATATAACAGAAAAATTTGAAATATAAAATATTATATAGATTAAAACTTTCAGTTACATACACACAAATAATATATAATGTTATACAAATTCAAGATAAATAATCAGAAAATTATTAATATCAGATAATTTTTAATATCAGAATAATCAGACATTAATATCCCTAAATTTTATTATCAGAATAAAAGATCAGATTTTCTGTCTCTTCTAATTTATAATTTCATAATTTATAATTTTATTTTGCTTATTTTACAATTATTATTTAATTATTTGTATACTTGTGTAATAATTGTGTGCTATTTTTAATAAATTTATATATATGTTATAATGATATAATCATATCAGTAATAATGTTATAATAAAAATAAATATAACTGATTGTTTAAAATAATAAAAAAATATAATAAATGAAAAAATGCAACATTTTAATTAAAGTTTGCTTCTTTTTTTATAGTAATTGCTGCAAGGATCTGGAAGAATAAAACATGCAGAAGGATAAGACATGTGATCAAATGACGAAACAAAAGGTTTGGATGAATACATAAATGGTGAGTTTTTTGTTAAAAATTAATATTATATAAATCAAGTTAGACAAACGATTTTTTATACAATATTTTGCAGTTTTAGTGCATTTATTTATTTTTAAAAGCATATTAGATTTTATCATTATCATTTTAAATATGAGTTGTAACTAATTGATACCATTCATGCAATTGAAATAAAATAATACATTTTATATCAGTTTTGTAGGAATTTATATAGTAAAATATTCTTTACTATTTAATCTCATATCTATATGTGCTGTGCAATAACATATACATATGTAACACTATCATGATACAAGTCACTTTCATGTAAAATTAGAATTAAAGATATTGTATAACAATCGTTTTGTCTAGAAATTTAAATAATATCTTAAAGCTATAATAGAAATAACAGTTTTTAAATCTGGTTCATATTATTAATAAATAAATAAATTTTAGGGATAAGAATCGGAGTCGTGCTGGAATATGAATTCAACACATTCGCCTTCCATACGAGAAATATGTATATATGTATATACATCGGTTATTTCCATAAGAAAAATATCAAGTATAAAAAAAAATGTATTATAGTAACGAAAGATATTATATCGCCACATTTTTAATATTTATAAATGTGACTTAATTATCATTATTAGCGATTCACAATTGTAATAGCTATGTGTACAATTTCATGCAAGATATAACACACGTAAACGCAATAGAAAAATTGTTAAATTTATGTAAATATTATATGTATAATATATATTATGTATACATTATACATGTAATATTTATATAAATTAAAAAATTTTTTTATTGTGTTTATGTGTTATATCTTGCATGAAATTCTACACAGTTATTACAGTCGCGAGTCGTTATAGTGTATAACTAATTGTAAGTCATAAATATAAGTATATTCATAAATATTAAATTCGGCAATATAATCTCTCGTTACTACATCTATACATTTTTTAATACTTGATGTTTTTTTTATGGAAATAACCGACGTACGTACATGTATATATTTCTCGTAATGGAGGCGAAAGCGCTGAATTTATAACCTGGCACGCCTCCGATTCATATTCCTAGAATTTCATGACTTTAGTCTTAAAGACTTTTATCTCGTCAAAGAATATACTTCAATTATGACAACAATCATACAAGAAGAACTGTTTGTGCAAGCAGCGTGTCAATTTTAATAGTAGATTTTAAAGTAGCAATTTTTATTTAGTGTTTTGCATGTCTTACAATTTTTTTCGCACTTTCAAATAAAATTCTCTTTTAATATTATTGATAAAGAATTTAGTAAATCTCATACTTGAAGTATGCTTTGCACAAATAGAAATTATCTGTTCTTTTGTCTAAAATAATTTCCGATGGTAATTTAAAGCAATGGTATTTTGATTATTACATTCAATTATTGAATGTCATATTTTTTCAAATACATTTAACTTTTTATTATTATTACGCAGATGATTTTAAAAGATTTTGATATTTAAGATTCTCTCGTTACATAGATATTATCTTTCGTTATCTTTCGTTATATAAGTCATATTTTCTCTCATTATATTTTAGAAAGATTATGCTTTCCAATTCCTATAGATTGAGAAAAATGTTAATGTCGTCACTATTGTTACTATTTATTCGTACGAATTTAGTGTTTGTTAGGACCATGTGGTTTCTACCCGAATTTATTAAACGCTTAATTTATTATTATAATATATATGAAAACATTAGTAAAATTTGAGTAAATTAAGTTAAAGACATATATAAAATTCAAAATATTGTCGCGTTCTTTATATAAGTTTCTCTATCTCATTTCTCAATTCAATGAGAATATTATTAATCCATTAATTCATTCTTGCACATCATTCGTCAAACATCAAACGTCAGTCGCTCAAGGGAGAGAAACGCGAAGCATGAAAGAGGGGGAGAAGAAGGATCGTTTATTTGTCGTCTCTCGAATTTTTTTCGCCGAAATCCGTCAAATATGAAAGGAGAGAAAAAATGGATCGATAGACATATGCAATGAACGTCGTTGAATGAGTCAGATTTCCAGGGAGAGAGTCCTGGCCATCGTCGAGTACAAACATACGAGAGCACGCACATACGGGACATTCGTACACAGTATACATACACACGTGCAACAAACGCATTCGCACAAGAGAGAGAGTAAGCGATAAGCGCAAAGGCGGAGCGCGCGGCATCAACGTTGCGAGATGCGCGTCGCGAGCGGCCGAACGTGTCATGTGTGCGCACCGCAAAGTGAGCAGCTTGGCACTTGCAGTTGCAGGCTTTAGGCCTGAATAAGGGGAGGAGCCTCGTGCATTGCCTCGCGCGCAATTATCCCCATTCTCCTTTTGCGGCTTCCATTCCTGCTCCGCGCGCTCTCGCGTCTCTCTCTCGCGTATCCTGTCTCTATATCGTATATATATATACATATATATATATATATATATATATATATATATATACACACATATATCGCGGAACAACCGCGCGACGCCATCTTGGTCGCGTGTGTGCGCTCGCGTTCGTG